TTCTAAAGGGTGTTCAAACTTTAGATAAGCAAATACTTTTTTTGTTTGAATTTTTGTGAAAGGTTTTAAGTATTGTAATGATCCTCATAATCATTTTGTGTTTTCTACTTCTTTGCCTTGTTTTGTCCCTCCTCGTAATTTTATTATTTCTTTTATGACTTGTAGAGATGGTTCACACAATACTTGATGAGTAGTTTCTGGTAGGGGTGTACAAAATTGAACCAAACCGCAAATCAAGTCAAATAAAAAAAAAAACCCGACTAGTGGTTGGTTTGACTTGGTTTGGTGTTGAAAAAACAAACCCGACTATATTTGGGTTGGTTTGGTTTTAACTAAAAAAAACCAACCCGAGACCAAACCAACCCGACATTATATATATAATTTTAAAATTTTATTTTATACATAAAAATATTTACTTTGATATAATTTTTAGAATTAATTACAAAAATCCCACCTTTTAGTTTACTTATTACCATATCCCTTATAAGTTTTACAAATCTCCAAAATCCCTCATTTTCACGCATCAGATTAGTGTATCTCGCGCATTAGATTAATGTATCAGCGCATCAGATTAGTGTATCTCGTGCATCAAATTAGTGTATCTCGCGCATCTACTTAATTATTTTTTAAAAAAATAAAATTAAATTCTATGACTGAAAACTAACATTTTGTTAATTTTTGCAGATGAATGAAGAAACAAATAAATTGCCTTATGATTTTCCTGCATCAATAGATTATCTTCATGCAAATCAACGTGGCTCAGTTAGTGGCCAATTAATGGTTCATGACTGGTAATTATTTTCTTAAATTCTTATTATTCTATAATTAGTGAGTGATTTAACTAAAATCGAATTTAACGTGTATACATTAACAACATAAAAAACGAAAAAGAGTAAGAAATAGCCTTAACTTATTGGATGTGACTTATATTTGTCATTCGTTAGTCTGACGTCTAGCTCATAGAATCCTCCATCATTATCTTTTGTCTCAAATTTACCTATAAATAATTTAAAAGTTCCAAATATGCCCTTTTGTACTAACCGTGGGTATATTTGGACTTGCGTGCTTCAAATTATCGCATTTGTACGTATGTTTTTTTTATATTATCAGTGTATATAAGTTAATTAGATTTTTTATAACTTAATAAATGTCTTTTTAGGTACATAAATGTTGATGCTTTGCCTGCATTATATGCATTTATTGGACTTGCTGAACCTGGACTTGTTGGATCTTGGCAAAGTGAAACCAAGGTAATGTACTTTTTTTTGTCTATATTTTTATTTTATTATATATTATATATGGTTACATTTAAAAATTCATAATTAAATATGTTATTTATGTATTATTGACAGGGTTATCAATTTTGGACTCAAACTGGCTGATAATTTCAAGATAAATAATGTTAGACCTGAAATTTATGGAGTATATTCTTGGGTCCCTAGAGTTATGGGAGATTACAAATTCACTTCTTAAATAACCGTTACGCAAGGTATATTTTTTATTTCATTTTATATATGACAATATTTCTTAAATGAATATAATTTATTTTTTAAAAGAAAAGTACTTTTGACACGTACCAATAGTATCTTTAGAATTTTTGAACCTAAATATGCAATGTCTTTTCTTAATCGATCGAAAAGAAAAAAGTGTCATATAATGTAGAGTTAATAAAACACTATAGTATAATAAAATTTCTAACTTATATAAATTTATTTTTTGCAGGAAAGGACACAAACTTAGGTCAAATTATATTTGAAGCTCCAAGAAATGGTCCAACATTATGGGAAATTGGATTTCCAGATAGAACTGCTAATGAATTTTTTATATCTGATCCATTGCCTGGTCTTCAAAATTATTTGTACACTAACACTACCATACATAAGTAAGTACTGCGGGGTCGATCAATCACTAATATTTGCATTACGTAGACTGTTTATATCTATGACCCTTCCTCAAACCTTACGTGAACGTGAGATGTTTTATGCACACTAGACTGTGTTTTTTTTCTAATTTGATTATCATGATATGTTGCTAATTACAGGTTTAGACAATATGGTTTATGTTATCGTAACACTGATTTATATCCTAATGGAGATTTAGTGTACAAAATTGGTGTTAGTGATTTTCGAAAAGATTGTTTTTTTGCCCATGTAAACAGGTAACTATTAAAAAAAATTATTTATTTGTATATTTTTTTAATAATTTATAATAACTTCATGTATTTTAATATTTTTTTTTGATTTTTTTAATATTAATTGCAGGAGGAATAATGATAGGAGTTTATCAGCAACAACATGGCAAATTGTATTTGATGTTAAAATTGTGGATTCTAGTGGCACTTATCATCTTCATATAGCTTTGGCTTCTGCATCTTATGCTCATTTACTAGTACGGAATCTTCATCTCCACTCTCAATACTCAACATATTTTAGTTTATAAAATTCATGAAGAAAAAACTAATTAAAAAATTAAAGAAAATCAAATATCGATCGTGTTTAAGTTTCATGTACTGAATCAATAACTAACTAGCGACTAAAAGTTTATAGTACTTCTAATCGCTAGTCAGTTATTGATTAATTCTGATTTTGATTCTTATGATATATGACTCAACACATTTAACTTTTAATTAGTTAAAATGTTTGTTATAATTGGTTTATTTTTATGTAGGAAGTATATTGTATTTGGACTACTTTTACATGTATATATTACCATCATAAATGGTATAAAAGTTAATAATTCTGAAAATTTGTGAATACTCTCAAGTAAGGGAATGGTCAAAAATGCACATTTCAAGTAATTAATCATGTATTACCAAAATTATAATTCAAATTTACTAACAATAGAAGGAACAAAAAATGTTATTTACCCTTACGTATAGCTTTATGTTACACGTATTGAATAATAATATACATGACAAAAATCTTATTTTAATTTTCGTTCTAACTTTTTTGTAGAATTTTCATTTTTATAGGTGTGGATAAATACTCCATCAAAACCAAGACCATGGTTTTGATAGTTCATCAATTGGGATGAGTAATGCAATAGCAAGACATGGAATTCATGGATTATATATGGCTTTCGATATTGAATTTTCAGGGACACAACTTTATATTGGTGAAAATATAATATATTTGAAGCAAGCATCAGTTTATGGCCCTTTTACTGGACTCATGTACGATTATATTCGTCTCGAAGGACCTTCAACAAACTAGAAAAAAAAAAGGATTATTTTAATTTTGTAGGTAGTCATATTTTATTTTATTTTATAGTTTTCATAGTCAATTTTTTTTAATAGAATGAATATTGTTCTTGAGAATAATGTTTTTATTATCATACTCTAATAAAATTTTCTTTCTTCATATTGGTATTTTGTTTTCGTTTGTTTATTTGTTTGTCTGTCTTACATTTAATTTATTATCTCTATGAACTAGAAGACTACAAAGAAATATAATACATTGTATTTTTTTTACCTATTTAAATTATCACTAAATTTGTACTAAAAACAAATCTTGATGTTAGGTTGATCAAATATTTATTCTTAGTTGATAATAAATGTGTGCAGATCAATTCAATATTAAGGTGTGTTTTAATATAAAAAAAATAATAGCTTAGATAGATAAATGAAATATCAGATAGTTATAAATTATAATTGTTTAAATACATTTTTAACTATTAACTCTAGATTTTACTATCTTCACCCTTGAGCCGCCCTTGAATCGACACATGTATATTTTATGTGAGGCTTTTTAAAAAGAAAAAAAAATTCTATTTAAAGAATGACATTACCTAGTGATTGATGTTCTTTTTATTGTTTAATGTGATTATTTTAAGCAATATTGTTATTCTATAATATTTGACAAAATTGATTCTGTCGAATGACGTGTGGGATTACCAGAAAAGAATATCAAATAATATAATTAATGAATTTATTGGATGTGTTTCTTGTTAATAAATTTAATACAACAAAAATCTGAATCAATCAGATCAATTAATTTTATATGTATTATATATTTAATAAGATATTATTTTTGATTGGTAGGGTCGATGATCCATTTGTTGTCATTTGTCAACCATCCTAATAATAGTTGTATGGAAAATGACTCACTCACTATTTTAAAGAGCTAAAATATTTTTGTTTTCAAATTATTGTTTGTCATATATATTAATCTCTGATCATTTTTGGAATTATGTGGTGAAGTCAACAAATTACTACGTGAGTTGCAATTTTTTTTAAAAAACTTGTACTAAAAATATTATAAGTTACAATTTTGTACATGTCAATTTCATGTAAAAATACTATATATTAAAAAGCGAATTATAACCAACTGATATGGAACAAAAATGGTATATTTACTGTAATAGTACAAGTACACTATTTTGGTAAAATTCTCTTCATTTTTTTTAAAAATAATCATTTTATACCTCACATAATATATATTCTTTCCGTTTATAAACGATTGACCTAATTTGACTTGACACGAAATTCAAGAAAATAAAAAAACTTTTTTCATTTTTATGGTCTTAAATTAAAATTATGTCAAGTGTATCAAATTCTTTTTTAATTTTATGCTTTAAACATACCATGTCAAAAATTAAAGTTAAAATATTTCCAAAAAGGAAAAGGCTGGTTTTTTTAAAATCAGACTAAAACAGAAAAAAAATCATTTTTTTCAAATGGTGGCCGTATAATATAAGACAAAAAAAAACAGCCTTACAAATATACTAAAGTTTTTTCTGTTGGTCCCTAGGCTACTTGCACTCAAAATAAAAAATCTATTTTAAATGAGGAAAAATAACAACCACTTCTTTTCTACTCCACCAACCCCTCATCGTTGTGGTGTGTAATTCAAATTTAGTTAGGGCTTTAATGAGAATTCTAAAATTCGAATCGCAAGAAAAAAAGGGATATACTTCAAATGAGGAAATGACAACCACTTCTTTTCCCTCTCCAATAATATTGCTTTCTCTTTCTTATATATTAGATGCTATTTAGTATAGTATACATTACTCAAAAAAATCAAGAATCAGCTAAAAAAAGTATTATGGAAAAATCACATGAGAATGAACACCCAATTAAGGCATTTGGATGGGCAGCTAGAGATACTTCTGGGGTACTTTCTCCTCTCAATTTTTCAAGAAGGTACAAATTTTATTAATTTTTCTGACACGTGAAATTATAAATACGTTATTGTTGTTGAGGTTTAATTTGAATTTTGAAATGGATGCAGGGAGACAGGTGAAAAAGATGTGCAATTCAAAGTTATGTATTGTGGAATTTGTCATACTGATCTTCATCAAATCAAGAATGAATGGGGCATCACCAAATATCCAATTATACCGGGGCAAGTTTACTTATCTTTATTGTTTTTTTTAAAATTTTATGTTTTTTTGTGATCGTCGGAAAATTTTAATGTGTATAACAAAAAATTGTACCTATTTATGCAAAAAGTGTTGAATCGTCAAATTATTAGTTTCATCTCCAAATTATTGACAGTCTTAAAAATATCTTGACTAACTTAACTTAGATACACCATCGATATACCTATAATCTGCCACATGACATAGCAAGTGGTCTCAAAACTCTAGTAGGAATATTTGACTCTTAATAAAAAGTCGAGAGAAGTGTTGAAAACACCCTAAACATGACGAGAATTTAGGAGGGTATTTCACCCATGTTGCAAGATCGGGAGTGTATTTAAGTTTAGTTAGTCAAGTAAATTAGTTTCTTTAAGGCTGTCAATAGTTCAGGAATGAAACTAATAATTTACACCGAATTTAGAGATATTTTCAATACTTCTCTCCATATATTTTTATTAAAATTCTTGGCTCCGCCACTTACGATATCCATTTTTCCATTAAGATCTGCAAGAACATTCATTACTAGCATTCTGACTGCTGTCAGAGATACTACAAACATATTGATATTTGTGGGGGAAAAAAATCCTAATCTGAGCTACTTCCAAATTCCTTCTATGTTGCTCACTCTTCAAACATACTTTTGGGTACGTAATGGATCCTCCAAAATCTGATACGATGCTTCAATATAGATTTGCATTATGTGGTAAACAATTTTGAACCTCAAGAAGATTATGTAAGTGGATGTTGTTTTTAACACCAAACAAAACAATTAAAAAAACACTTGGATGGAAGGGGTAGAAGACGGATTGATTTCTTAGATGATCACTCAAAAAGTCATATGCTTTCTGTGATAATAACTACCAGCTCGATTAAGTCAACTAAGAAATGTGTAGCCAAAATCCAAATGCATAGTGAAATTGATTAACAAGTTATTCTTGAAGGTCAATATAGTTTTTGAGTTTATGAGATCAAAATTTATGTCAATCTCAATTGATTTTTCAGGCATGAAATTGTTGGAGTGGTAACTGAGGTTGGTAACAAGGTAGACAAGTTCAAAATCGGAGACAAAATAGGCGTTGGATATCTAGTAGGATCATGTAACGAATGTGAAAATTGTACAAACGATCTCGAAAATTACTGTCCTGGACAGGTATTGACAGCCAATGGTACTCACTCTGATGGAACCATCACTCACGGTGGTTACTCCGATCTCATGGTTGTCAACGAGCATTTTATTGTTCGTTGGCCTGATAATTTGCCAATGGAAGCGGCTCCCCTGTTATGTGCAGGGGTCACAACTTATAGCCCTTTGAGATATTACGGACTAGATAAACCTGGAATGCACATTGGTGTTGTTGGTCTTGGCGGACTTGGACATATGGCTGTGAAATTTGCCAAGGCATTTGGGACCAAAGTTACTGTCATTAGTACATCTATCAGTAAAAAAGATGAGGCAATTGAACGTTTAGGAGCAGACTCATTTTTGGTTAGTCGTGATCCTGAACAAATGCAGGTCAGTCGATCAATCAACTTAGCTTCAATCACAAATTTACAATGATATTCATGTGACATAAGTATGAATTTTTGTTTGCACATGTAAATACAAGCAGGCTGCAGGGGGTTCACTTGATGGAATCATTGACACTGTTTCCGCGGTTCATCCTATTTTTCCTTTGCTTAATTTATTGAAAACTAATGGGAAGCTAGTGATGGTTGGTGCCCCAGAAAAACCACTAGAGTTGCCGGTATTTCCATTGCTTTTAGGTACATTTCGCGTAGTATCTTATTCTTCATTTAAGTTCTGACATGTCCGTTTGATTTAATTAATAACTCAAGTATGTAATGTGGAAAACAGGACGGAAACTAGTGGGAGGGAGTGCGATAGGAGGGGTGAAGGAGGTGCAAGAGATGGTAAACTTCGCGGAGAAGCATAACATAACGCCAGATGTTGAAGTCGTGTCAATGGAGTACGTGAATAGAGCAGTGGAACGTCTTGTGAAATCGGACGTGAAGTATCGTTTTGTTCTTGACATTGGCAATACTTTGAAGAAGAGTTAATATAGGGACATGTTGTTCTTGTTGTGTGTTTGTATTTTAAGCAAGAAAAAATGGTGAGTTCATGAGGGAATTACTAAACATTCCATATTACTACTCTTATGCTCCATTTTATAAGACACGATAATAAGTTTTCATATACAATTTTTTTAAAAAAAATTTCCATCCGGTCTTTAATATATGTTTTGGGGCCCAACCACCGTACAATTGAAAAACGATACGACCCAAGATCAATTTTGGTTCTTCTTTCTATCAAAATAAATCATATTCAAAAGCACACCACCCTTCTTACTTTACAATCAGCCTTCGACCTAAAGTGCTTTTAGAAAAGGTCGGTGGGGCAATCAAAGAGACTTGTTTTTGATGTAGAACCGGGGGAAGAATTATGGCTATAAAGGCCCTCACCCTCTTAGGCACATGGTTCTGAAGATTAAATCACAAAGATGTACGAAAGATTAGGCAGAAGAACTATAGCTAGAATTTTTCGTCTCTTCCCTTGTACCAAAAGCAAGTTCGGAACATAAGGATAGGGCTCGTCTATTATAAGTTATTAGTTTACGGAGCTATCTCAGATTTCTCGAGTAAGGAGAAGGGACAGACTTGGAAATCTACGTTCAGGTTGGAAAATTCCACGTTCTTTTTAACAAAGGCAACATTGTAATCAGACCGGAGACTTGAATTCAAGACTTTTGATTAAAATTGGAGGAATACTTATTAGTACTCTACCACAACCCTTGTTGTTGTAAACTTAAACTCTTGTATAAAGTAGGAATAAGAGCATTTTTGGTCCATAAACTATAGGTATATTCTGATTTGGGTCCTTTGAGATATGTACTAAAGCATATTTAACATTCAATTAATCAAAACATGTGTTTAATCCTTTTATCTAAGAAGTATATGTCATATTTTGAACTACTTTTAAAACTATATTCCTTTCAAATATGGAGTAACAGTACCAACTTAAAAAATATATTCATGTTGAAAATAAAAAAAGAAAAAAAAGCTATTTAAAGTGGATATTTTTTGTTTAAATGATACAACTAGATATTTCAAATAGTCATGTCTCTTTTTTTTTTTTTTTTTTTTGCCTTTTTATTTTCTGAATTGACCTAATAGAGGACCCATATTATGTCCTTCTTCATTAATCTAAACAAATAAATGACTTATACTAAGTTATATTTGAAAAAAAAAGATGCACCGACAGCTTTTATCCCCAATTATAATGAATTGAGATATTGCTCTCAAGTGGTAGGGTCGATGTTGTATTTATTAGCCTCCTTGATGGGTAGCGACTCCTCGATGGTCCTCCAAACAATCAAAATAAGGTAAGCTTGAAGATAAGCTTTGTATTTAATCCTTTTTATTGAATGGATGAGGTCCGATTTTTTTACTAAACCCCCCCTAAACTTCAACTTTTTTTTTTTTAGTATTTTGATAGAAATTTATTTGATCAAAATATTAGATTCTTGTTCTTTTTGCAAATTTGTGAATATTCAAAAGCAAACAAAATAGTAGGATCGAGGAATGTTATTTATGAAACTTTTTTTTACACCGTGTCAGGAATTTATTCTCCTGATATTTAACGATTTTGCAAAAAGTATTTTTTCAAAAATATTAAACCAATCAAACTTAGAAAAATTAGAAAATATTTTTCTATTGCACCAAACACACAATTTATTAATATTTTGTTTCAAATTATTGTTCACCATCTTTTCTGATGGCTATACTGGAAAGGTAATCGCCAACGATATATCCTAATTAATTATTGTGGAACAAAATTAAAGTGACGCAATTATCATTTTCGAGAGCTAAATTATAGATGCTCCCTTAACTACAAAATCTTTTTCAAATTATTGTGTTTTTCACTTATTAAATTATAGCATTCTATGTGATATTTCGGGATGCCTAAAGGCGCCACATTCATGTGCTAATACACACGAAATTAAGAAATATGCGTGAAAAAATCAGTGGCACTATACGTAATGTTTCCCCAACTCATTACGGATGTCCTCATATAGTTTTAATAGAAAAAAAATGTTGGGATGCCCAAAGGCGCCAGATCCATGGGCTAATACACTGGAAAAACCAAGAAAGTCGGGTGATTCCTAAAAGTTGGCTCGTAAATGCAAAAATATGCTTGAAAAAATTGGCAGAACTATACGCAGTGCTTCCCAAACTCATTACGAAGGTCATCATAAATTGTTTTAGAAATTTTTTATGGGTGCCCAAAAGGCGCCAGATCCATGGGTTAATAGACAAGAAAAATTAAGAAAATCGGGTAATTCCTAAAAATTGGCTCCTAAATATGAAAATATGCATGAAAAAACGACGAGACTATACATAATACTTTCCAACTCATCACGGAGGTCCTCATATAGTTTTTTCAAAAAAAAATTCAGGGTGCCCCAAAGACGCTAGATTCATGGGCTAATACACTAAAAAAACCAAGAAAGTCTGCTAATTCCTAAAAGTTGGCTCATAAATGCGAAAATATGCGTGAAATAAACGACGGGACTACACGTAATGCTTCTCCAACTCATTACGGAGGTCTTCATATAGTTTTTACAGAAAAAAGATTCGGGTGCCTTAAAGGCATCAGATCCATGGGCTAATACACACGAAAAACCAAGAAAGTCGGATAATTTCTAAAAGTTGGCTCGTAAATGTGAAAATATGCGTGAAAAAAATGGCGGGACTATACGTAACGCTTCCCCAACTCATTACTGAGGTCCTCATATAGTTTTTTCAGATAATTTTTTTGGGTACCCAAAAACATCAGATCCATGAGCTAATTATACACACGAAAAACCAAATATGGTCTTTATATAAAGTTAAGTTTCAAACATAAATATATAGTCTGATTCTGAAAACAAAATTACTAGAATGCTAAGAGGTATCCATAAACCAATTGATTGGGATTTATCATTTACCAAATCAAACCAATTACATTTGTTTTATTTATTCATAAATCAAACCAATTCTATAAAATCGAGTTTTTCCTCTATTTTTTTCAAAAGCTTTTATGATTCCATACAATCATATTAAAACATTTCATTGAAACCAATTTCTACTAAGAATGTCACTACTACACATAGTTTAAAATAATATAAAGACTAATTTTAAAAAAAATTAAAATTAGCGGCTAGACCTTGGTCACGTACTACTGAACCATTTTCCTAGAAACATCATATAATATAAGATATAATATTATATCTTATATTAATTCATAAAAGGCAAATGTACAGAGAAGCCATGACGATAACATTTGTTTTATACCTCATCGACTACGTCACTAGCCATCAATTCAAATGCCTATTTATTCAAATGAAAAATCAATACATTGGACTATTACTCTACTCAAATTAATTGTTCTAATAATAATATCTCCAAAAATAAACAAAAATCAAGAAAATGGAAAACTCACATGAAAATGTTGAGGCATTTGGATGGGCAGCTAGAGATACTTCTGGGGTGCTTTCTCCTTTCAACTTCTCAAGAAGGTACCATCTTTTCAGATTTACGTTATATAAACTTGACAGTATATATAGATAGTGTATATTTTATATGAATTAGATCTACACAACATATCTACACCGATAGTGTATATATTGTGTCTATTAATTTCGAACATATTGATAAACTAGTTGACCGAACAGTATACATTTGTAACTTTTCTTGTTGAATGGTGAAGGGTGACTGGAGATAAAGATGTGCAATTCAAAGTTATGTATTGTGGAATTTGTCATTCTGCTTCATCAACTCAAGAATGAATGGTGCAATAGTATATATCCATTGGTACCAGGGTAAGTTTCATTTTGATCCATTTATTTTACTATGTTCTTTTACTATAACTCTATCGTAGACAAAAATCGTTATATCTAATTTAATTTAAGTAGAAAATGGTAGATAAGCGGACTTATTATTCACCAAGTTACAAAAAGAGTATTCTTATAATTGCATTATATGTAGATACAGAGGCAGAGCCGACTTGTGAGATTATACTGAATATGTTGTTGTACGTTACAGGCATGAAGTTGTTGGTGTAGTAATTGAAGTTGGTAGCAAAGTTGAGAAATTCAAAATTGGTGACAAAGTTGGAGTTGGATGTTTAGTAGGATCATGAATGTGAAAATTGTGATAATGATCTCGAAAATTACTGTCCCGATATGATATTGACGTACAATGGTGTTGACATCGATGGAACCACCACGTATGGTGGTTACTCCGATATAATGGTAACGAACGAGCACTACGTGGTCCATTGGCTCGAAAATTTACCAATGGAAGCAACTCCCTTGTTATGTGCAGGGATCACAACTTATAGTCCTTTGAGATATTACAGACTAGATAAACCTGGAATGCACATTGGTGTTGTTGGTCTTGGTGGTTTGGGACATATGGCTGTGAAATTTGCTAAGGCGTTCGGAACCAAAGTTACTGTGATAAGTACATCTGTTAGTAAGAAAGACGAAGCAATTGATCGTTTAGGGGCAGACTCATTTTTGGTCAGTGGTGACCCTAACCAAATGCAGGTCGATCAATCAATCAACTCTGTTTCAGTTTCAAATTTATAACATAGGTGTGACTTACGAATAATACTAATTTTCGTTTGTATTTTAAATACGAGCAGGGTGCAACCGGGTCACTAGATGGCATCATCGATACTGTATCCGCGATTCACCCTCTTCTTCAATTGATTAATTTGTTGAAAACTCATGGGAAGCTTGTGATGGTTGGTGCCCCTGAAAAACCACTAGAGTTGCCTGTATTTCCCCTGCTTTTAGGTATGTTTGGTTATAAATCGATGATTTTGTATATACATTTTTTTTATATTGATACGTATGTTTAATATAATGTGTGTAATAGGAAGGAAGCTAGTGGCGGGGAGTGTGATAGGAGGGATGAAGGAGACACAAGAGATGGTAGATTTCGCGGCAAAGCATAACATAACACCAAATGTTGAAGTTGTGCCAATGGACTACGTGAATACAGCGTTGGAACGCCTTTTGAAATCGGACGTGAAGTATCGTTTTGTGCTTGACATTGGCAACACATTGAACAATAATTGAGATGAGGGGGACATCTTGGTCAAGAAAATGAGTGTGTTATAGGGTTATGATTTTGTATTAAGCTTGTACGTTTTGTTGTTTAGTTTATTTCTTATGTTTTGTGTATCAAAAGGAATGGGTTAGGAGAATAAATATGATATTGTGTTTTCTAGTATACTTATTTGCCTATGGCGTTTATATCAAACTATACTGATTTATCATGGTTAAGTCATAGCACGAGTACGATTAAATTTTTGCCTCTAAATTAACAAGTATAGTTTAGTCGTAGCACATATCGACTTTCTTAATGTATGCGTATAACTATCCTTTAGTGAGCAGAGCAAAATGCAATAAACAATATCTATAATGCCAATGGATTTTTTTTAATAGGAATAAGAAATATCAAATTGTTAAGTGTGGCTAAATTATGGTAAATACTTAGCCGCACTGTGTTTTTTATAGAAAATCAATAAATTATTTTAACTTTAATTTATTAAAAAACAAGATAAAAATACATATTACTTAGATAATTATGTGGTTAATTTGTGTAGTGCCTGACAAATCAATGAGTAAAAGTTAAGCGTTTATTATATATCAAATTAATCTTTAATCATGATTACGTAATATATGTTTTCACTTCAATTTTTAATTGCTAAAGTTAATTAATTTGATTTGATGTAAATAATAATGCAGACAAAGATTTTCTTATAAAAAAAGAAATTTGCGTAAATAATGTATATTTTAAATACCAAACATGAGAGTGGTAGCGCCCCAACGATAAAAACTTATTTGTATCTAATATTTAAAATTATACCGTCCAAATAAGAGGACGAAAAAAGAAAACAAAAAGTAGAGGGAAAAAGGAGGAAAATAACTCGATAAAAATGTAGTGGGAATAAGTCGGAAATTGCAATTATTAATTGGTCTAAATTTCACACTTTGATGTTTTTATTTTCTTTTAATTATACTTTCACGTTATCTACGTGGATATTTTTTAGCCACTAATATTAACTTCAAGTTTTTCACGTTTGGAAAGCTTTTCAAGAACCTTTTTTTTTGGGGCAATTTAAGGAAAAAAATAATTAACGTACATATTGTGTTTAAGTTATCGCACTATTTTGTAATTGTCATTTTTTTCATATCAGTTGCTTTGTTTACACAACCTTTCCCAACCCTCCCAACTCCCTTCATTCAATGCTTGACAACTTTTTTCATGTAGTGTACACATGTCTATGTTTGACATTCAGATAAAAGACAACGGTTGGAAAGCAAGGGGTGAGGTAGTGCTTGTCATGGGAAGAGAGCTCTCACCTTAACAGAAGAATTGTCATTTTCCTTTTTTCATACCTACTAATATACAAATTTTGAGCCAATGATCCTTCAAAAACAATCTCTCTACCTCTACATGGAAATTAAGATTAAGCTGATTTGTATACACTCCAATTTTTCGACTTTCGTGGACCTCATTATAAGATTTCACTAAATACATTATAATATTAAAAAGAAGAATATTTTTAAAACTCGTAAACTTCAAACTCTAGATAGATTCGAGATAAAAAAAAAGTGTGAAACCTTTTTTTAAAAGTCCTGCAAAGTAGGACTCTACACCTATCGACCACAAAAAAGAAGTCAAAATCCAATTTGTTTAAGTAAGTCATTAGTTGTTACACCTCATCGATAACGTCACATATTTTTCACTCAAAATCCTATAAATATGGATCATAACATAATCAATTTTGTATCATCCATATTGTTCTACATTTTTCGCTATTATAATTTTATTTTTCAAACGAAAAAAATGGCAAAATCATTTGAAAATGAACATCCAATTAAGGCATTTGGATGGGCAACTAGAGACACTTCTGGAGTTCTTTCTCCTTTCAATTTTTCAAGAAGGTACAAATTATTATTTTTAATTTTGATGATGTGTTTTTCATTTCAATCGGAAACAAACTCTCTATAAGCTGAGGTAGGGTAACATCTGCATACATATGATATAATAAAAATGGTTTTTAGTGGCAATAAATATGTCAATTAACAAAGAGTGTTGAAATTTTTACCAGTATTTGTTATTGAATCCAATGTCGTTATAGGCTCCGACGACATTTACAAAGAGTGCTAAAATGTAATTGTCACTTGCAACTGCCTCTAAGAAAAATTGTTTTTTTCTAGTGACACTTGGTTTCTCGGATCCCACATGTATGATTATACTGAATTTGCTGTTGTTGTTTTATTGTAAATTTGATGATGATCATTTTGCGTTAATGGTTACAGGGTGACAGGTGAAAAAGATGTGCAATTTAAATTTATGTATTGTGGAATTTGTCATTCTGATCTTCATCAACTCAAGAATGAATGGGGAAATAGCAAGTACCCCATGGTGCCTGGGTAAATTGATTTGTTCTTTTATTTTTGGTTTAAAAATATTCAGATTTTTTTTAATTGTTAGATCCAAAAATACTAACCAGAATTTTCATTAACGAGATTCAAAAATATTAAGGCACAAAGAAGCTAATGGAATTCAACATCCACTATATATACACATAAGTAATTTTTCGGCGAAGAATATTTACTAGCTAGTTTTCCTGTTCTCTGTATCTTTTCAATTTTTCACATTACTGTATATTTTTTATTTGAAAGCAATCCTGATTTGGTTCTTAGTCTATAATTGGCCATTTTGAGCTCTTGATACCTCAGTAAATCCTGAGTTGTTGGGACATGGTACTCCCTCCGTCCCATTTTATAAGAGTTAGTTTGACTCGACACGGAGTTTAAGAAAGAGAGGAAGACTTTTAAAGCTTGAAGACTAAAATGAATGATAGAAATTACTGTGACTATAAATCATTTCATTAAGGATAAAATGGACATTTGAAAGTTAAATGTGTCATTTTATTTGGGACAGACTAAAAAGGAAAGTAAGTCATATAAACTGCGATAAAGAGTAAAAACTAGCGGAATTTGTGTCGATTCGATCTACTCGTGAGTGTAACTAATTGTAAATATAATTGCAGGCATGAGGTTGTTGGTGTTGTAACTGAGGTGGGAAGCAAGGTGGAGAAATTTAAGGTTGGAGACAAAGTAGGTGTTGGATGTATGGTAGGATCATGTCGAAAATGTGAGAATTGTAGCGTTGATCTCGAGAATTACTGTCCTCGTCAGATTCCTACATACAACGGCTATAGCTTAGATGGAACCCTCACGTTTGGAGGTTACTCCGACATGATGGTATCCGATGAGCATTTTGTAGTACGTTGGCCTGAAAACTTGTCGATGGACGCTGCTCCCCTGTTATGTGCTGGAATTACTACTTATAGTCCTTTGAAATATTTTGGACTCGATAAGCCTGGAATGCACATTGGTGTTGTTGGTCTTGGAGGGCTCGGACATATGGCTGTTAAGTTCGCTAAGGCATTCGAAACCAAAGTGACTGTCATTAGTACATCTGCTAATAAGAAGCAAGAAGCAATTGAGCATTTGGGCGCAGATTCTTTCTTGATCAGTCGCGATCCTGAGCAGATGAAGGTGAATATAATAACTCGTTATCATTGAACTCTGTGATCATCTTATCTGAATGTTTAATCTGTTTGAGAGAGCACTTTTATTTAGTTGTGTCTTCAACACACCTCTGCCTGTTCTTTTTCATGAGTAAAGCACGTGATTTTTTTTATTTTTGTTGACAATGGTGGTGTTGAGGTTTTTGAACTCACGACCTCTGCTTGCTCTGGTTCCGTGTTGAAGTGTGGCAATGTCATCTAAAAGCTTAATTAAGTTGTTATGCCAGTTTAACAATTTAAACAGGAGAATGGGGGCTAACCTTTTGTTTATTCGTTTATTTATATACGAACAGGCTGCAATGAACACATTGGATGGGATTATCGACACTGTTTCGGCGGTGCATCCTATTCTTCCATTGCTTATGTTGATGAAATCTCATGGTAAGCTTGTTATGGTTGGTGCACCAGAAAAACCGGTGGAGTTGCCTGTGTTTCCTCTACTTATGGGTAAGCAAATGCAAGATTTCAAATAATAAAGTTCCAACTTAAGTATACATAATGTAATGTGGTCCTTCCTGGGACTCTGCGCATAGCAGAAGCTTAGTGCACCTGGGTGTCTTTTTTTTAGACTAAAGTTTGTATGTATAATGTGGAAAACAGGAAGGAAGCTAGTGGCTGGAAGTTGCATAGGAGGGATGAAAGAGACTCAAGAAATGTTGGATTTTGCGGCAAAGCATAACATAACACCAGATATTGAAGTAGTGCCAATAGACTATGTGAACACAGCGTTGGAACGTCTTCTGAAATCGAATGTGAAATATCGTTTCGTGCTCGACATTGGCAATGCATTGAACAAGAAATGAGAATATTAATAGTGTTTCTTTGCTTAGATTACATTAATTTCAGAGATGATTAATAAAATGTGTTTCTTTCACTTATTAAAATAGAAAAAGAATGTTAGTACATTTCACAGTAGATATCAACGGAGACTATGCAACTTCAGTAGAACTTGATGGTTTTGAGCTCCATTGATTCCAAAGCTTCTTTTCACCCAAATTATACATGTTCCCTTCATAGGCAGTGTCCCCAAACTCATTGCTGATACTGATATGTAACCTTTGTTTTTTACCAAAGAAAAAGAACGTAACATTTTACCAATATTTAATCTATAATCCCGGGCTTGTGGGAAAGAACTGCAAGAGTTGCCTTTGTTTCTTAGAAGAGGAGCAACTGGCCTCTTCTTCATATCTTCTCTTCCTTATCCCAATGCAAAGCTCAGATTCATTTTTATACAACAAACGAACTCCAAATTTCTGCTTTTCTCCAAAATCATCATCTGTTTCTCCAATAAAATCTACATAACCAATAAAATCTAACTTAATGCACCCATAGTCATTTGGTGTTTTTCCATTTGCATTAGATGCATCCCATAAGCCACCAAGAGGTACCAACAAAAAATTAATATCACATTCATAAGAATATAGTGAATTGTTGGATAAGGCAAATTCGTGGGTCATCGACGACATCCCACCATCACATGATAAGGGAATCAAATGAGCTGTGATGCAATCAATTCGTTTGCCAGAATAACATACAACAAATCCCAAGAAGTTATCACTTACATACCAATTCTTAGGCATTCCCTGATAGTTGAACCAACTTGGGATATCCACCTTCAAACTCACAAACACTCTTAGTGACAAGGAATCTGAAGAACAGATGTCATGCTGCAATGATGAGATATTCTGAAACAATGAATTACAGATCAAATCATTGCTCCAATCTGCATCTCTTTTGTCTAATTGCTGTGGAAATTCTGGCAGCTGTGTAAGCCTCTTGCAATCTGATAAGTTCAAAGATCAAAGAGCACCAAGTCCGGATATGCTCTGAGGCAAATGCTCAAAATTATTTCCCTTGAGATTCAAGTATTTCAAAGAGGATAAACATCCAATGTCTTCTGGCAGCTGTGTAAGTCTCTTGCAATCTGATAAGTCCAAGTATTCAAGAGCACCAAGTTCGAATATGCTACGAGGCAAATGCTCAAAATTATTTCCATTGAGATTCAACACTTCTAAAGAGGATAAGGATCCAATGTCTTCTGGCAGCTGTGTAAGCTTCTTGAAATCTGATAAGTCCAAGTATTCAAGAGCACCAAGTTGGGCTATGCTACGAGGCAAATACTCAAAATTATTTCCCTTGAGATACAACTTTTTCAAAGAGGATAAACATCCAATGTCTTCAGGCAGCTGTGTAAGTCTCTTGCAATCTGATAAGTTTAAGTATTCAAGAGCACCAAGTTTGGATATGCTTTGAGGCAAATGCTCACAATTATTTCCATTGAGATACAACTTTTTCAAAGAGGATAAATATTCAATGTCTTCTGGCTGCTGTGTAAGTCTCTTGCAATCTGATAAGTCCAAGTATTCAAGAGCACCAAGTTTGGATATGCTTTGAGGCAAATGCTCAAAATTATTTCCACAGAGATACAAGTGTTTCAAAGAGGATAAGGATCCAATGTCTTCCGGAAGTCCTCCATCTATTATATTGCAGTAGCTGAGATTCAGAGATTCCAATGAGAGTAACCCTTTATTCACCAGAGGGAACACAAAGAACACTCCATAATCACAAAGTCGAAAACTCAAACTTTTAAGCTTGTTCAACCGGACGATGGAAGACGGAGGACGTGAGATTAGAGTATCTCTGGCATCAAGCTTCTCCAAGTTTTCTAAATCACCTATCTCTTCTGGCAAGCTTTCAAGTTTTGAGCACCCCAACACCTCCAACTTTATGGCAGTTCCCTGCTTTATCCTTCCATGGATTTCTGGAAATTTCTCTAAAATAGAGCAGGATCTTAGATCCAAAGATTCAAGAGATTCCACATTAACATATGGAAACCTCTCAAGTTTTGTACAATAAGACAAATTTAACTCAATGAGTTTTTTGCAATCCTTGAGGGAAGGATGAACTTCTTCAAGACTCGTACATTGCTCTAGATTCAAATACTCCAAATTTGGCATCCCCTTGAAATCTGGTGTTCTCTTCAGCCTGTAGGAGTGACGTAGATCTATCCTTCGTAGAGACAGAAATTGCTGCAGCTATTCAAAACACAGAAAGAATGATGAAAAATAAGTAAAGTAGTAAACCACATGTTTATATTATAACTCAACGTGTGAAATGAGAAATTGTTTGATTTTACTTTATATGGAAACTAGTAAAATTACTTTAATAGCATAAAATTTATAAAATAATACTTCAAGCTATTAGAAATTAAAACTAAAACACTATATTCTCTTACATACAAACTTACGTAGTAACAAACATTCATAATGTAAAGGGAAATAAAAATTATTACATCTTATCATTTATCCTTAATAACATAAGCATAAATCAATGACTATAAAAATATATACCAGAATCTGTAACATAAGCAATGATGTCAGTGAGCCACTCAACAGGAGCAAAGTACACAAATATTTAATTGTGAAGAAGAAGAAGAAGAAGAGTTTCAGAATTTTTGTTATTTTAAAATGAGAGGAAATCCCTCTATTTATAGACAACAAAGAGTTGTGTGAATAATTGTTTGTTGTGCCTTATCGTAAATGTTACAATTGTTTGGAAATGTTGCAACCCTTTGGAAAGGGCACAACCTTTCATGAAAGTCACAACTTTTTACAAAAGTCGCAACTCTTCATTAAAGTCGCAACTTTTCATAAAAGTCACAACTTTTCATAAATGTCACAACTTTTCATGAAAGAAGAAGGATATTTTTGGAAATAAATAAATTAAAAGGAAATTCTAGTTTGTGGTAGCGCCAAGTAGGTAGGCTTAAGGTTCTCTTATATATATATATATTTTTTTTTTATTTTTTTTTATATTTATATTTATATAAATGTGGGAAGAATTTAAGTCAAAAGTTGAATTACGAAAATATCCTTTAGGTATTAATTTATTTTCTTGAAATTATTTAAAATATTATTTTTCATTTAATATTTATTTTGGAATTCAATGAATTTTGACTGTTCGTATTATTGTAATTAATACTCCTATTTCCAAGACTTACAATTCAATACACATTATTAAATTGCAAGTAATTATTAGCAAGAACAAATCAGTAATATTTACATCTTTCACGTAGTAATAGTGATGATTTTTCATAATCATAGTTACTATGAATTTTTTAATAATTAGTCATAATGATTTTGCATTACACATTTAATATATTTGAATTCGTTTATATATTTTATCCTTAGATTACAATTTTATTTCTACATTACATTTAAATGTTATAAATTGTTTGATAAATTAAATAGTAAATCATCATATTAATATACATAAATTACCACTAACTCATCATTGTGTAAATGTATGTAACACCCACTAATTATATTCATTATGTTTTTTACTCTCATCTCTCATCGGTAATTTCAAATGGATCAATAATATATTTATGACAACTCTTTGTGTTCCTCAATGCTATCCTATAAATAGTGACATTTGACACAATAATGTTCCCACTTAAATCAAATGAAAAAAAATATGAGAAAATATATATGCTCTCTTCTCTTGTCTCTTTTTATTTGTTTAGTTTAACCTTTATGTTTCTTGTCTGTTGTTATTGTACAACTTTCTATTGTTGTGTTGTTATAATTATTGAGAATTTACCATGGTTTGTTGCTTTGTATATATTAGTCTATCATGTGGTATTTTAGTATCCTCATTTGAATTTGAATTTGTGCAATAGTTAGTTATTTCACTTTATGCACTTTTAGTCAATTTTATAGTTAAAACTTTTTTTTAAAATTAGGAAGATATATGTAGTTCCTATCGAAACAATGATGAACTTTGCAATACAAAATTTATATGAAGTATTTTGGGATAAACATGCAATGCACGTTCTCAGATCTAGTCATCATCATCATCATCATCATCACCATATTACTATAAGTGGGAACAAAAAAAAAATTAAAAGTTGAATTACGATTTTATCCCTATTATAAATTAAAATGTTATAAAAATATTTAATTATTTAATTTTAAATAGTATAATTTTAATTAAAATGTTAATGACTTTTGCACTTCCTTAAATTAATTCCTCATTAAAATATCTAATTTAATAATATTTATCATTTATAATCTATATGTATATTTAATTTAATCATCATATCATATCATCATATTGTCACGCCCCGAGCCTACACCCTGGGTGGGACCGGCACCCGGAGACCATTTCTAGCCCCAAGCGAACCCTTGGCCTGGCTTTCTTAACTCAGCGGAAACCTCAACAGAATAACTCAATGCAATGCAATATTACAAAACAACTTAACTTATAAAATATGGCCATAAAGGCAACTCGAATCTCAAAATAGAATATTTACATATATATATAGATGAGAGACTCAAAACTAACTGACTGACTGTCTGTCTATGAAGCCTCTAAAATACTGAGATGGATGTTGGGACAGACCCCGCAACATCCTAATAAAACAAAAACTAAGAACACAAAATAATTGAGTCCTCCGGAATGCAAGGAGGCTCACCACTGACTCTGGAGTGCTCAGCTGGATCAACGACGTGCAGGATGCTGATCCGGGGTACCTGAATCTGCATCATCAAACGATGCAGGCCAACTGGCATCAGTACATGGAATGTACGAGTATGCAAGCTGGAAAACTAAGCAACAAAGGCTAGAAGGAAAACTGGAAGAAACTGAATAGCTTACCTGGCTCAACTTAACTCAACCTGACTGACTTCTTTCAATATAAGGCAATTTAAAACAAATGCGATATAAAGAAAGATTGCTTAAACCATGCTATGAACTCTGTGTGTATACAAGGATACAATAAGCCTGAAATGTGTATAAAAATACAATGAACTGATGTATATAAAAAATACAATAATCTCTGTGTATGAAAAATACAATAACTGCTGTGGGAGTTTCTCTAACCGACAACCATCACATAAGAGCTATAGTGATGATACAGCGATCGACCTCACGCTGCCAGAGCATCTTATACCCGGCCAAAGGTATAAGACCTGAACTGCCTAATGGATCCACTAGTCTAATCTGAAAAGGATTCATCTAAAAAGTATGATCCTTTTCTACCCATGGTGGCTAACATGGTTCTATGGGGGCTGTGGGTTCTTTGAACGCTCCCCCAATTCGGTGCTCGATACTACTCCCAAAAATGTACTGGCTCTTATGTTTTTAAAACATATTTCTTCCTGCTGATATGAGATAATTACTCAAAAACTAGCCCGAAGGCTTTTTGGAAATCTCAGTTTCCAACCTTGTTTAAATGTAAAAACATTTCTTTAAAACTTCTTTGGGAATACATAGTTCCCTAATAACTTTGAGAAAAGAACTCAACTTTAAACTCTTTACTTTACTTGAACTCTTGGCTTGATGTGAAACTCTTAACTTAACATGAAACTCTTAACTTTTGACTTGACTTGAAACTCAATACTTAACTTGGAACTTGAGCCTTAGAATGAAGTTAAAACGCTCAATGAAGACTCTTGGAAAACCTTAAAGACTTGCTTTGACTTACTTACTTCTAAGCTTGACTTCACTTGACTTGGAAACTAACTTCACTTGAATTGGAAACTAACTTCACTTGACTTGGAAACTAACTTCACTTGACTTGTAGTTTTACTTGACTTTTGGAAGTACCTTGGAGTGTTGGAAACAACTAGGAAACATAGGTATAATACCTAGGAACATGTATAAAAAAAGAAATGGTGAATGAAAGGGAAGGATTGGTGTCCTTGGCACTAGGAGAGGTGCAACAGCCCAGCCCCTTTTTCCCCAAAAATCCGACTTTTTCCCCTTGTTTCTTTCCAATTCTAAACCCTCTCAACCTCAAGGTTTCAGCAGCAACACTTAGAATCATAAAGACCCTTATTATACAATAGATTCAACTCAAAAATCACAGCCAGAAATCTGTACTAAATCAGCAAGAACTTCAACACAACACCACTACAACTTCAACAACCAATAAATCTTCTCTTGGAATTAAAAACGAGTTGGTGTGTGGGGGTATGAACCAACCAACACTAAGGATCATAAAATCCCTCAATATACAATAGGTCACAACTCAAATACACAGCCCAATCCTGTCCCACAACCAACAATAACTTCAACAACACAACTAACAACATCAACAACAACTAACAACTTCAACAACTTCAACAACAAATCCGATCTCTTCTCAAATCATAAAAACGAGCTTGGTATGTGGGGGGAAAGGATAAACCCACACTAAAGACTCACATACCTTGATAGGGATCACCCCCGACGAAAATCCACAATGATCTTGACAAATCTTGTTGATCTCCTCTTTCTTCTCTTCTTCTTCTCCTTCTTCTCTTCTTCTTCTCTTGAACCCTAACTCTTTCTCTTTCAAAATGGGACAAAATGATCCAAATATCAGCCTAATACAACAATATAAGCTCAAAATAAATTATTTGTGAAAAGACCAAAATGCCCTTAAATTTCCGGAACGGAATCCCTGCCAACTGCCCAACTTTCAAAGATCATAACTCGCTCATACGAACTCGGAATCGAGCAAACTCAGTGGCGTTGGAAAGATCGTTCCACAAGCTTCGAAACCATAACTGGAACTACTCCTAAATCATCCTGATCTAGGAGTTATGACTGCTCAAAGTTGGCCAAAAACTCACTGATTTCCACACTTAGCCAAATTTTCCAGATTTTAAATTTTTCCAAAAATGACTATTTCCAAATTTCAAGCTTCTTCATATTCATTTTTAAATTGTCGGATGTTACACATATATACAAACAAAATGACTTTTGCGCTTCCTTAGATTAATTCCTAATTAAAATATCTAATTTAATAATATTTATCATTTATAATCTATATGTATATTTAATTTAATCATCATATATATAAACAAAAAGAGTTAAAAGTTGAATTATAATTGTATCCCTACTATAAATTAAAATGTTATAAAAACATTTAATTATTTAATTTAAATATTAAATTGTATCATTTTAATAAAAATGTCAAAGAATTTTTCACTTCCTTAGATTAATTCCTAATTAAAAAATCTAATTTAATAATATTTATCATCTATAA